TATTTGCAATGCACTTTACATTTGACATTAAACCTCAAAGTGCAATATGAAAGCCATTCCAAAGGTTTTGGGACTCTATTGAACCTCGGTTAGAGTTATACTGGAATAACACTAACAGCATGAATATTTTAAGTTAATTTTACTCAAATAGAACTGTATGATGAAACCTCAGGGTTTAAAAGTTCACAGCTCACGATGTATGTTCTTAAACCGTATGGCCCGATGCTCTGATGCGATCTAATTGCTCACAGTGTACGTCCAAAAATCCACACCTCGGACTAAGCAGCAAGACAATTCCCTTGTTTGCACATTCAAAGTGTTCCCGCTTCAACAGCAGGATTTGCCCACTAACACCTCACGAGGGCCGAGTGAATTTCAAACATGTTTAATTTTCTCCCAACCTTGCGATTCCTGCTCATGAGGTGGTCGTGAGAGGCTTATCGCCCCTCGTTACCCCTTGTATACTACACAACACAGGAGGCACTGTGAAGAGGCGGAAAGTTGGCAGGATTCAAATAATTCTCGCACTACTAGACAATCGCCCCGAAAAGGTTAAAAAATCGGAGTGTATGCCCGCCTTAAGTAGCATTTTTATCAAGTTTTCTTTTCTGTTGCTTGAATAATTTCTTAAATGGTACCTTTTTACTTTTATTAGTTTATTTTTTAAAGATGTTGAAGTAATTCTACTCTGACTTGAGCATGATTTTTGGGTCCTTTTCTCCTAACTGTATGTTCAATATTAATTTCCATTCTTCTTTTAGTATATACACTGTAAAAACGACCTGAAAATGAGTAAAAATGTCTTAAATTAAGTGTATTTTGACTTAATTTGAGCAGCTAAATAAGAAGATCTGCCAATGGAATTAGCATTTTTACTTTTAAAATAAGTGAAAAACAAAATAGTTAGATGTTATGCACTTCAAATAAGAGACTGCAGTTGTTTTTTCTTATTTTTAATGTAAATTGCCTTATTCCATTGGCAATAAGTCTCACTTACCTGCTTAATTCAAGAAAAAATGCTCTTATTATAAAAAAAATTGACTTACTTTGATGTCATTTTTTGCAGTGTAAGCTTAAGATTTTTTGGGGGGTTCTTGCTGGATTCCTCACTTACACCCCCCGCTAGTCCATCTGTGCTCCATGTACTGATTAACATGTTTAAAACCTCCATGTTTTTCTGTTTTTATATAAAAAACCTTTATGATACTCAAACCCAGTTTAAATCTGCATGCTGATCCAACTTGTAAGCTGAAAAGCATGAAATAGACCTTACCTGCCTCAGCTGATTTATGCTGTACAGTATTTTCAACAATAGGGAAGAGGCTATCAGGTATCCTTAAGAGGATGTCGGTTGTGGAGAGTATGTGGCAATGAGTTACCTACCTATATTGTGTCACACTCGAAGAATTTAGCTTTTAGGCTTCCTCGATAATCTCCTCATATGAATTTTGTACCATATAAATGATTTGAAAGCTCTAAGCATGGTCAGAAAACCAAACCAGACAATGTCTGTAAGGGGTTAATAGTTTTTCATGGCATTATATCGGAGTATCTTACCTGCCCTGAACTTTGATGTCAGAGATGGCATAGAAGTATCTCGATAGGCTGTTCTCATCTACCACTGTAGCCCCAGTGGCAGGCCGCAGGAGCCGAATTCTCAGATCGGTGATGGTAAAGAAGTCCCTCAGGTTCTTGGTTGTGTCCAACTGCCCATAAAGCGAGGCCATGTTGTGCAGCCTGGGCCCAGCAAACAGTGCAAACCTGTCCTTGATCTCAAAGCGAACAGTTTTGTCATACTTCCACACATACCCTCGTGAGTAATCCTCTGTGCAGATGATGTCCAGCAAGGTATGCTGGGACAGGTCCTGTGCTGTCTTGGGCTCCATGGTGAAGGCATCCAGGCAATCTGTGGCATAAAACTGGTAGGGTTGCCAGGTTCGCCCATAATCTAGAGATTTTTCCAGGACCATCTGCTCAGGTCGGCCTGACTCAAACGTGATGACGATGTCATCAGTCAGCTCAATGGTTTTGTTCCAAGATAAAGTGATGTTGACCAAAAGGGCTTTGGGGTATTTCTTCCAAGTGGTGGACTGCCAGAAGGTTGTGGGGTTACGGCCCTCGATGTCAAACATCAGCTGTGGAGGGTGCGCGAGTTCCTCAGTGCTGGCGTCACATTCATTATTACACATGTAAGGATTCTCCTGCAAAGAAGAGAAAATAGATAGAAGGTGTGAAAAAAGCAGAAATACATCCATAATGTTAACCTGAACATGAGACTACCACTACATTTAAAACAAGGACCATTTAAATTGCTTCTTAATCACTTTCTACAAATATATATAGACTCCGCCTAACATACTGGCAAAAAGTTGAGCTTTGGTTTGCTCTCAACAGGGTACCTACTTCTATGCTGATTTAGCTTCTTTTTTAAATTATGATTATTGCTCCTCTTGTATAGAGCTGACAGTGTAGGTGTAGGCTTGGTGTAGGCTTGCAGGTGTGTCTTAATCTCTGTCTGTTTTCGGATGATTGATAGGTTTGCAGTCAGATTTTTAAGCTTGATATATTTCTTAAAAGGTAATCCTGCTTTAAACTCTGCAGGAACTTTAGCCTGTAACCTGTCTTCTGTGTCCTTGTTTGCTCCCCAATGGTTTCTATCAAGCCTCTGAGGCCTTCACACAACATCAGCATCCACTTGGTGACATCTGAAGACAATCAGTTTCAATGGACTTTGTTTTCATTTGAGATTTGCATTGCCATAATATGTTGAAACTCATATTTTCTTTTCTAACACTTACGTGTTAAACAGATACCAATATGAAACACTAAGATGTGTTTCTTTAATGTTTTGAAGTCAGAAAAAGTTCAAGTGTGATGAAGACACTGTACCTGCAGACCTTGACTTGATTGGTGCTCTTAAAGGAATTAAAATCTTCCCCATCAACCTAATTGTGTGAAGTGGATCTGTGTGCTGTTTGTCACTCAAGCCAGAATTAGACCCTAGGTTTGGAGAGTTTCTCCCCGGGTTTTAATTCATCAAGCACTTTGCTGGAAAGAGGTCTTTCTGAAAACATTTGTCCAATTCACCACAAATCATTACAAGGCAATGTTCTCTCCTCTTGCTCCCTGGGGGCTCGAACTAGCTGTTAGGAGGAGACGGCACTCCTCCAAGAGGACCTTTCAAGTGTTACAAGCTCCAATTTATCAGGACAAGATAATCCACTACTTGATTAGGTGGGAGATGTCACCCTGTGTGTGTGTGTGAGTGGCTGTCTGTGTGGAAGTGAGTGCGGCGACATGGTGAGGAAACAGGGAGAGCAGCTAGACTCTGATGTAAGATGGTGTAATGAAGCAGCGAGGCAGAGATTGAGTAAGTTAGTGGGAGAAACAGCTCCATTCGGCTAATAAGCTTTGCAAGTTTTTCCTCGTCCTCCAAGGCAAGGTGACAATGAAACAGGGTTCTGTCAGGCCCTCTGACTGTTGGAGGGCCCCATTAATATCCTGTCTGAACCGTCCCCTGCAGGTTTCCCTAAGCACTAGACAGCAGCGGAGTCCGGAGGAGACGCTGGATGGGGGGACGGCTGGATAGCAGGGAAAAAGTTTCACTGTGGGTTCTTAGTGTACCGTCTCACGGTGTGAGGTTACGTGTGCCATTAACTGTAGCATCTGGTGCACTCTGAAATACACAGACAGATGTGTAATAACTCATAGATGACAGTTATGTGCACTTGGAAACCGTCGGCAGCCTCTAAAAAAAACCCACTTGGTAGACATTATAGATGTTAGCAATGTAAGGAGCATGGGTTCATCAGGGGACACCTTGTCACAACTTTATAGGTGTAGGAGGAGGAGCGAGATCACTGTGGTTAATTCATGTAGATTATACAGAGCAGTATCCTCGGCTGCGTTTATTTAAACAAATTCTAAGACTGTTAGCATAGTAATAGAGCATTTTTTGTCATTTATCACATTGCTGATAAATTAAATGTTACTAAGGATAGTGTTTCTTATGTTCCACTAACTGTAAAGCATCTTCTTAATTAAAATACATCTAAAATTTATTGTATTAGGGAAGGAAACCTTGATTTCTAGGAGTAAAACTGAATTTGATCTCTTTCCACGGCTAAAGGAGTCGTTGATCCACTGTTCCTTATGACCTTCCAAGTTCCATGAACTGCAATAAAGAAGGTTTTTTTTATTTTATAAAACCTGATAAAGGCAAGTATCTGACAGCAAACTGGTTTTATATTTTCTGATATGATTTTAACTGCATTATATTAAATTCCCATGTACTACATATGCAATAGCAGTTTAACAATATGTAAACAATATTGGTAGAACTCTGCTTTTCCTCTGTCACTCTTCGGACAGCTTCTTTCTCTAAGTCTGTACTCAGAGAATTGCTCACATAAGATACTGACGGCTCATAACTGCTTCAATGAGTATCAATTTAGGGAAAAGGGCAGGGCTATTAAGCAAAGCTAACAGTTAATCTGCAACAGAATGGAGCAACTGATTGTGCAAAGCATGGCAATGAAAACCATTATAAAAACTGAATAACGTAAACAGATTTAAGTTTTCAGGGTTAGTAGATCTCTTTGTTGCTGAAATGATAAAACAAAAATAAAAATCAAATATTGTGTTTGTTACTTTTTTTGATGATGATCTCGACATATTTAAATTGCTTCAGTGATTGAACTTCAGTAAGTCTGTACTTAGCAAAAAAATATCTTCATTTCATGTATGGCTTGTGAGGTCTTATAAAATAATATGATTAATTATGGGGTGGTAAAATAAGAGCTATCTAGCCACAACTGTTTGGTTCACTTGGTTTTTTTTCTTTACTTTTTTAGAAATCATTGAAATCAGCAGAATTAAATTATATTTATTAAGTTAATTCAAGGTTCAAGGTTATAATATAACAAACTGGAAAATGTAACGTTATAACCTTTACAGACAAACAGGAGAGTAAAGCTTTGTCGTAAATCTGAAGACAGATGATTAAAGTTTTTAAAAACTATTTGAAAAAAAAAAGGTTATACGTGTGGTTTGCAAATGTCCCAAACAAACATGAAGAAATATACTTCTGTTCTGTTTGCATTTTGCCACAGGCCACACAGAAGGAAAACGAACATCTCATTTATGTGAGAAAGCAGTAAAACTTTTGGGGCCTTCAGGGAAAAAGCTAACGTGAACACTCTCCATCCCCCTGGCGATACCTGGCAGAACCATTATAAAAGATAAACTGAGCAGAGCTGATGAGAAGACAATTGCGAGCATTTTGAGAACTGTGTCATTACATTATACATCACTCGTCATCCCCAATGAATTCACTGAGATTTGTGGTGTTAGTCTAGCAAAACTTAAAATTATATTAATACTTGTTCTATGAAGTTAAGGTTGATTTTGGGGGAATAAATGTTTTGAATTTCCTTTAACGTATTTGCTAAAAGCATATAGATTTTCTTTCTGAAACATAAAATGAACAATGCTGGGTTTATTTTATTAGTTTTTTTAGCTATAAATCACTAGAACTTTTAACTTTTGGGATTTAACTGATCCCAAAAGTAAAACTAAAATATAAAGCAATGTCTGCAGATAACTTCCCAACAGTGTATTATATTGCTCTTTAGTCCTAAGAACAGTTCTACCCGTTTTTCCTCTACAATCTTAAAGATACATTTAATGCTTTCAGATTTTATAACCAAAGTAAACTTCTAGAAATCTGTGGGTATTATTTGCACCTTTACTTTATAGATGTGTATATATTTTTTTGCCACCATGTAAAAGCCACATACGAGTCACATGCTCACATTGCTCCCTTCGCCTGCACATCTCTGTAATCAGACAAAGATGTATCCCTATCGATCCCTGAGGCCACGCAGCTGAAAATTTGCTGTGTGCAGCACCTGGCAGCGCTGATCACTGGCCAAGCGACCCCCCCACCCCCCTGAACTGAACACACAGGTTAAAACCTTTCATTAGTGTCTTCTCTGCTTCTCGCTTAACGACAAAATACTGCCCTTATGAAGATCAATAACCTCACCCGGCTGCTGGAGAAGAGTATGGAGATAAAAAATGCTGAGTATACTGGCCTCGTGAAATCAATAGCAGATTTCTGTGTTTTACTGTGGGGCTCTCCGCGAATGAATTAATGGCCTGGTACGCATTAAAACAATTGATGGCACCCGGCAGGACGACAGCAGCATTTTTGTAATTACTGAAGATGTTTCTATTAATCCAAACCCAATGATAAGTGGGCAGTTCGGGTGGGGGAAGCCTCTAGAGATTAAAGAGCCGGCAGTGGGGTTACTGTGGCGGATAGGTCACGCCAAATCAGTGCTAATAGAGATGCCTCCAACCCACCTAAAACACGCCACTTAATCCGATTATTAGCACTATGATGCACTGAGTTGAAGGCAAGTTCTCAGTGTGTGTAGGCGTCGGGTTTGGTGTTCGTTTACTAGTGAGTCAGGTGCTCATGGGTGGATTTAAGAAGCTGTTCTAAATTCCTTCACCACAGTTACCCTAATTGTCAGGCTAATTTAACCGACCAAGAGAAGAAGAGAAAACGCGCAGCAGGTAATGATTGAAACTATGATCACTCAGCTGCACTCTAGAGACCAGCGCTGTCTGCAGCACTGAGGTCAAAGGGTGGGTGACTTGTCTGATGTTTTGCAAGGCGAGGCTTTAAAGGCGCCTATCGTCGTGGTAACAATCTGTACTGCTTAATTTAAAGCGAGCAAACTTTTTAACAGCTTTAGTTCCTGTTTATTCTGAATAAATTTCATGTAATGTACAAAAATACAGCCACTTTCTTATGCAGGTTTACATTTGACCAAGATACAGTAATTATTGATAATTGTTTTTTTGTGTCTGGTGTTTATTCAAAAAGCAATAACCTTTAACCTCTCTGTGAAGGTAAAAAAAAAACCTTGGTTTATCGACTGGCATTTGCTGGAGGGATGAAAGAGCTGCAGTTAGGTTTGTTATAATATTGTTATATATATTATTAGGAGAAATGCACAAAAGAGGAAAGGAGCAAGAGAGGTAACCAAGGTCCTGCCTGCATCTGGGTTTCAATAAGATATGGCCGTACGGCCTGACAGCCTTGGCTCAGCCACACTGTGACGACTGATGGAGGATGGGAGTAGCGGGAATATAAATTTACTAACTGCAGACAAGCCATCCAGATAGATGG